ATATGATACATTCACAAATTAAGGGGATTAGGACATTCACACCTTTGGTGGGGAGACATATTAGCTTGCAAACTGTGCATGTAAAATCAATTTTTTTCTTAAGAGATTTTACTAATACAAATACTGTGTAATGCTTGAAGAACTTCTTACTAAACAAGTTGACTGCCTAGAGAATATCTATTTTAATTATAAAACTAATGACTTTAATTTCCTGAATGCTAGAAATATGATTTTAAAGAATGACATAGGTTATAACACCTAGTGTGACTAATGTTTTACACAATATATTAAGATGTAATTTAAACCTTATACTACAAGTGTAGGATTTGCTGCATGGTGGGTTTATTATGTAAGTACCTAATTCTGTGTTGATCATTTTAGTTCTGTTCCAAAGGCAAGAATGAAGAGTTCTTTCTGAATTATTTCTGAATATTAGATTTCATTTTAATGACTTTAGCCCTTTTCCTTTTAGCTCTATACATTTTTCATTTGGGGCTGTTTAATGCTCATTAGAGCATTCAAATGGTCATTCAGCCAGAATGACAAATCCTTTCTCTAGTTAAAGGAAATGTAAGCAGTCCTAATAACTAAGCTGGTGGTTATGTTCTCATTTTACATCCCAGTTTTAATATCTTTATTTCTATGACCAAACCTTTTGTTGAGTAATTTGGTTTCAATATTACACATATCCTGTCTGATTCACCACCATTCCTTTGTCTAGAAAGGACTTTTGCTTCTAAAACCTAGAGTCTATGGGGCGGCACCCGGCCCCATACACTGGATGTAGTGGGTTCAAACCTGGCCCTGGCCAAAAAGTTCCAAAAAAAAAAAAAAAACAAAAAAAACCCTAGACTCCATGGCTGCTTGTTTGTGTTTGGCAAATTTAATCTTGGTAGTTTTGATTGCTTGCATTTCTATTTATCGGATGCTTGTTTCTTAAATGCTGGTAATTTGTAATCTGACTTTTCTTCCTTACTGACAAACTCTTGGTTCTGATATTCAGAGCTTAAATGAGACTGTAGCAAGTTTTCATCTTAGTGTTTTGTGTTACCATCATGGTATATATACAGTGAGTATTTGATAAGTAAATTAATTGCATGTTCCATTTGAAGAATTCAGAGGGCATGAACATATATGATGTCCTAATGACTTCTGAAGTTCCTTTTTATTTTTGTGCTTCTGGGGAATTGATAGATACCTCTAAGTAGATGTCATTCTTTATTAAATTACAGGGAGATTTAAACATTTCATTGGGTTAAAAAAATCACTGTCCTTAATCATGTACCTGGTGGTTCTTAGATTTTTGATCTCATACACTAGTGAAATATATATTATTTAAAAATTTGGAGGATAGTTGGGGTGGCATCTGTGGCACAGTGGGTAGCGTGCTGGGCCCATATACTGAGGGTGGCAGGTTCGAACCCAGCCCCGGCCAAAACTGCAACAAAAAAGGGGTGTTGTGGTAGATGCCTGTAGTCCTAGCTACTCAGGAATCTGAGGCAAGATAGTCACCTAAGCCCAGGAGTTGGAGGTTGCTGTGAGTTGTGACGTCACGGCACTCTACCAAGGGTGATAAATTGAGACTCTGTCTCTTAAAAAAAAAAGAAGAAGTGTAAATTTTATTTTTCTAGGTGAAATCATAAACTTTTACCAACTGTGGCCATTTTAAAGGAACATTTAAAAAAGTGGGAAAGACAAAGCACTAAGTAAAAGTGTTTTATAAATTCAATAAATTTAGTCTTATAGAATAATTCAATGCATTGTTTTTTATTGTATTTACTGAGAATGACTAAGACTTGGCTTAAAAAATGAATATTTTATACTGGCAATATCCCTATTATTTTATTTAAGTAGGGCCTGAAACTCAGAAATATGTGATTTTCCTAAAACCTAAAACTAGCCAGTGGTTGAAAGCAAGGAGTAGGAGGAATTTAGAAGTAGCAGTCTTTTTATTAGGGTGATTCCCTCTGAACACAAACCTAACATTTTTGTATATGTAGTAAATAGCAGTTTCTCCTTTCTGCCTTCTCTGCTTTCCATTTTCTATAAAACTATCTCATTCTTCTACTTGGTCTTCTTCTGTTTGCATTGCTATAAAAGAATACCTGATAGTGGTAATTTGTAAAGAAAAGTGGCTTATTTGGCTCATGGTTCTTGTAGGTTGTACAAGAAGAATGGTGCTAGCATATGCATCTGGTGAGGACCTCAAGCTGTTTCCACTAATGGTGGAAGGGGACATGGGGGATCCAGCATGTGCAGAGATCACGTGACAAGAGAAGAGAAGGGAAGCAGAGCTGGGGGGAGAGAAAGAGAAAGAAAAGGTCTTTTTAATAACTAGCTTTTGAGGGAATTAATAGAGCCAGACCTGACTCATAACTACAAGGATGGCACCAAGAAATTCACAAAGGATCCATCCTCAAGATCCGAACACCTCCCATTGTGCCCTGCTCTGACACTGGGGATCAGATTTCAACATGACACTTGGTGGGGAGGGTCAAACAAATTGAACTATAGCAACCTTCATGAGTGTTCAGTATCACTCAGTCTTCTGAGCTTAGTGTGTCCCTGAGCCTTAATTTTGTGGTTTTGGAGAGATCTGATACTACTTTTTTCATGATCTGCTTAGTACTTTTTGACTTATTTGTATTTCAATAATTATAATGTACAAATATATATTCAGTACAGTACAGAATATATAACATAAAAATAAGATTATCTCTGCTCATATCCTGATCATTTCTCAATTTCATTACCTAGTCTTTCTCCGTAAAGGTAATCAGTATTAGTAATTTTCAGTGTAACCTTTTGAAAAGCATTTGACGCATGTAATGGTGGCTGACTTTATTTAAAAGTGTCTTCTAATATGTATCTATTAAAGCATGCACAATTTTTAGCCTTAATCTTGGTTTTACTTTGGCCTCATCCCTGTTTTTTTGTATTAAAGAGTTTATGTTTAATTTATCCTCTCTAATCGCATTTAATAAATATGTTTGTATTTGAAATTCTTCCTAGTTCCTGTAAGGATACAAGTAAATAAATAGTACTTTGTTATATTTTTAGTATGCTACAATTAAATCTAGATTGATAATTACTAATTTAATTATGTCTTTTCAAGTACTAACATGATTGTAAGCCAAGAACTTTTATCAGTTAAATTGCTAGAAAGCATTATTCAGTGTGTGTATCATGAAATCTTATCTTTTCCCCAAATTGCTGTTTCTAGTTAGTTTTTGTGTTGAAGGAGTCATCTGTATAAGATAAGAAGGAAGGAGGACAGGTGAAATGTATTTGCCAGGTTTTGTTTAATTTAAAAAGGAATTAAAATAAATTATCACACAGAGAAGGTATATCACATGCCAACAAACATGCCCATCCACAAAAATGCAGTTTTTCTCAGCCATCACAGTTGTAAATATTTTGTTTATTTTTTTAATAAATGTCCATTTCTTTTGCTGATGTTATATGGCTAAGTGTTGTGTACTTCTTTCATTACATTTGTCTTTAATATTGAATATATGAATGGACATTTATCTCCATGAGTTCTGCATTTGTGGATTCAACCAAGTGCAGATTGAAATATTAAAAAAAATTACACCTGTTCTGAACATATTCAGACTTTTGTAAACATTAAACTGTAACAACTATTTACATAGTATTTACATTGTATGAGGTATTAGAAATGATCTAGATATGATTTAAAGTATGTGTGAGATGTGGATAGGTTTTATCTAAATACTGTGCCAATATATGTCAGGGATTTGAGCATCTGTAGATTTTATAATCCACAGGATGTCCTGGAACCAGTCTCCCATGGATACTGAGTGATGATTCTATAACTAATTGGGACAAATTACTGAACTGTGTGTGGGTCAAGAGTCCTTCTCTCTGATGACAATGGGCATCTTTTAGAGTAGAGTGGTACTTTGAGTTTTATAGGTCGTTCCTACTTGGACTGGATGGGCTTTTTCTAATAGTCAGTAAATTTAGTGTCTTGACAAAAGAAATCAGCTATACTGGTATAGTATGCATATGTTTTTGCCATACTGTTTCTTACTATATTGTTTAGTTTAAATATACCATTTATAATAAAAGTCACTTCTTAGAAGCAGCTAATATGATATTTAATATTGGCTATTTGGTCTTGAAATTAAGTAATTTTAGGTAAGTGAGAAAAATCTTTCCCTAGTCATAACTGGATAATCCTGATTGATTATACAAATTGTATAAACCTAACTGATTACATTCAGGTAGTTCTGTATGATTACACAATGCAAATAATACTGAATTAGTTGTGTGCATGGTGTAGTTAACAAAGTTGAAAACTATTTATTGTTTTAGCACTTGGCCTATAAACTTTATATAGAAACGTAAATATATTTGTTAAGCTTATGTAGCTGATTACTGATTTTTAAATTAACTTAGTTTTCTGAAACTCTAGTTTGCCTCCATACCAAAATCAATGTTGTGATTATGATGATAATGACTATTCTTATGATTAAAATGACAACTTGAGTTTATACCATTTAAAGTTAGGCAAGGCATTTTTAGCTTTCATAGTGTTTGGGAAGCTAATATTAACTTATGGTCAGAAAATAGAACTTAAATAATACTAGTTATGTTTTTGTTTTTTATTGTAAAAAAATTTAATGGCCTGTCAAGTTTGATTATTGTTTTCATTATCTAAGAACCTAGTAAACATGGGTTTTAGCCCTGACTCTGCTATTACTTAGATATATGACTTGGGAAAAGTCTCTGTTGGCTTTAGTTTCTTCACTTTTTAAATAGAAGAGTTGAATTCCTAGTTTACCTGTGAGTCCTATCCACTTCTCCAACTCAATAGCAAATAATGTATGATTCTTTCTGTTTTTCTGCCCTCAGGTCAAAATAATTTTGAATTATATTTAATTAACTTTTTTCAGTATTTAAGTAGAAATAGAATTTAAGACATTGAGAGAGTGCTAAGTTCTAAATCAGAATCTTTTTTTAAATCATTATTATTGAAAAAAATTATATTTTGGAAGAACTCACTACATAAGGTGACAGAATTCCAAAATCAAATTACATGAAAATATACATTGTAATTTCTTTGTACAATAGGTGAGAAAAATCTGCAGGCATAGAAGAATAGAGGCAAAGAAATATAAAGGACTAAGGAGAAGGGTATGAGGGCAAATAGCATTTTTAGTAGCAAATCCAGGAATTAGGTAGAAAGCCTGTAGCTGAGCTGTGCATGCTTTATCCAACCTTAACATTTTAGGCAACTGAAGGACAGAAATAAAACCACATCAGAGTTTGATACTGTTTGGGAAAATTTTCAGAAAGTTGAATTAAGTACCAACTCTATTAGTCCTTGGGGGAAATTACTGGATTCAAGAGCTCTCAATGGCCAAAAAATGTTATTGCTACATCCAATCCACAAGATGGGTGCAACTAGAATACAAAAAGGACAAAGCACCTAGTGATGACTACTCCTTTGAAGTCATCGATAAAAATCAAGTAATTGCTTATTAAGTATTTCAGTATTTTAAATGATTATAGAACTTTCTGGCAGCTATAAGAGATAAAAGCAAAGGGGAGTATGTCAAAACAAAGAAGATACAAAAGTTTAGTAAGTGAAAAGAGTTTAATGAAGCCTCAATAGTTTAAGGAAATTAAGTGGAAACTTTTAATCCTAATTGCTTTTCATCTCACATGCTTTAAGGAGTCTTTTAAAACTGATAAGAAACAATGAATAAGAAAGAAAACCTGCTAAAATCTTTTAGAATTTACATGATTCTTATTCTACTACAAGAAAGCATTATTTGGTACTAGGTATATTTGTGGATGTACATGAACAGTATATATATTATCCTGATCATGTTGTGTTATGTACAGGTCTTTACAAGTCTTCCTGAAGGTTAAAATAGTTCATTAGAATTCAAAATGTGTAATCATCTGTAAGTTGGCACTTGTTAGGCTCTTGTCAGCATTGATAACTGGCATGTTTTATTGCAGCCCAGTTCCAGCCAGTGTCTGCCAACTTGTTACAACAGAAGTCCAGCAATAGGTGGTTAGAGTGCAGGAAAACAGTGCCATGTTTCTCAGTTGGAGACCCTGAAATAAGTGAAGTTTCTAGCTGCTAAATAAATGTCACTCAAAAGCTATCTCTTGGCTTTTTCTTACACAGCGGGCAACTTTTCTTTTAAATTCTCCATTTCTGTCTTCCCTCCATTCTTTTGCAGCATCGACATTAACAGGTGAATCTCCATTAGGGTCTGCCAGCATAGAAATGACACTAATCATGATGGTTTCCACGGTATGGATAGGGAGCCTGCGTTCCTCTGGCTTTTCATATCCAGATTTATCTTCCCCAGGCTCATGAAGAATAGAAATGCACACATCACCATTCTTATCAACATTTGGGTGCCAGATTTCTGTAATGAATTTCATTTTAGGAGGCCAGAGGGAATAATCTTTTGGGAAAGTGAGATGAGCCTTAGCAATACCACCTTCATAAAGTGTATCTGGAGGACCAATAATAAGGACTTCCCATTGGTAGAGGTCATTTATCATCTATTAAACCTGCTGAAAAGCCTTCCACTGGATTTTTGTTGAGTTCTATATGGCCAGGAGCCAGTCCCTTTTGCCCACCCTTGCCCTCTGCTGCCCACCTCCAGTTCAGACAGCATGCCAGGCCCAGATGCTCCTGCCTGCCTGCCCCCGGGGTCAGCGGAGGCTGCCGCACCTCCTAAATCAGAATCTTAATGATTTTCCTTTGCTAACCACACTATTCCAATTGAGGAATTAAACAGTTAGTGGTTCTTGGTTAGAGTAAGGAGGGGATAGTAAGATTGTGTGTGGGTACATGCATGTGTGTATTTATGTGCTTAGTGGAATATGTAAATGTATGTATATGTATTTGTGTGTATACACTCTCCTACTATCAGTATCATTACAACTTAATTTTAGGCAGATATTGTGAACTTGGGTTTGGGTTTATGTCCTTCACTGCTGTTCCTGTCTTCCTTCCAGTTGTAATGCTGGCACTAGCATGTTATTTCTGCTCTTCCTGTGGCAGTAGAGCTCCCCCTTTCCCCATGTTTCCCTCTACTAGCTTCAGTGAATTTCCACCAGGCTATGATATTGATGCCTTTTCTCCTAAAAATTTAAATATTTTGATACTTAGAGGATATAGGTTAGATGAGTCTTGGTAGAATTTTTCATCTCCTTTTAATGGGATTACACCATTTCCATCAGGTATAGGTTTGCAGATTAAGGGCTTTTTTTTTTTTTTTTTTTTAAGGAGAGGTGGCTTTTCAACAATGACTACTGTTCTCCCTTAGCCAGCAATGGGGAACTTACCCACAATTCTCTAAGCCACTTACCGTCTTTAAGTTCTTAGTGGGGTTCCAGGAAGAAGAGGGTGGTAGTGAATGTACAGCTCATGTGGCTTTTCAACAATGACTACTGTTCTCCCTTAGCCAGCAATGGGGAACTTACCCAGAATTCTCCAAGCCACTTACCCTCTTGGGTTCTTAGTGGGGTTCCAGGAAGAAGAGGGTGGTAGTGAATGTACAGCTCATGTTCGCAGCTCCTAAGCTTTCAGACTCTCTTGATAGCCCACTTTCAGCCTAATTTAGCAGTTCCTTAAAAATTTCTAGTTCAATCTTGGCAGTTTGTGTGGCACTTAGTGGCATCTGTTCTAGTTTTAGAAAAGCTGAGATCCTGTTTCTTCTCGTAAGTGGCTGAATTTCTCCATATTTCAGGATAATTGTATGACCTATGTCCTTAATTCTCTGATGGGCTCAGGAAAAGTCATTAATTTGGAACTTTACAGATATTTTTCTTCTATCTTTGGAGTGATACTTTTTATAGCTCTTTACATTTTTTTTAATCTTAAATTGGAAGTCCGTTCTTCAAAAATAATTTTTTTGCACTGTTATTTGCCATCTATTAACTCATTACATCTTTCTTTCCTTTAAGTCTTTTTTTCTTATTGTTCTTGTTTGTAGATAGGATTTCCCTTTGTTGCTCAGGCTGGTCTGGAATTCCTAGCCTTAAGCAGTCCTGCCTCAGCCTCTTGAGTTGCCTGATTATAGGTGTGAGCCTTCACTTCTTAAAAGTCTTAAACATACAATAACTGATTTAAAGTTCTTACCCCTCCCTTGTATATTTATTGTCAGGTTTTTTTTTTCTTTTCTTCATTCTTACAAGTTATATCTTCTTTGAATTTCTAGTAATTTTCTTAAAGGACCACATACAAAAAAATAGCCAGATGTTGTGGCAGGTGCCTGTAGTCCCAGCTACTCAGGAGGTGGAGGCAAGAGAATCGCCTAAGCCAAGAGCTGCAGGTTGCTGTGAGCTGTGATGCCACAGGGCACTCTACCAAGGGCAGCAACAAAGTGAGACTCTGTCTCTAAAAAAAAAAAGGACCACATAACAAATATTTTAGGCTTGTGGACCATAAGCTATAATTAGCCATAGACAAAGCATAAATGAATTGGTGTGGCTGAGTTCTAATAAAAATAATAAAAGCAGATGACCAGTTTGTGGTCTGTAGTTTGCTGACTGCTTAGTTATTAATAGATTGGAGGTTCATGTGGTTTTAATCTTTAGTGTTTGCATAGATTTTCTGTTTGTCTTTTAAAATGTTATTAAGAAAACTTGGTTTTTTGTTTTTGTTTTTGTTTTTTTTTGAGACAGATCCTTAAGCTGAGCCCCTGGGTAGAGTGCCATGGCTTCACTGCTCACAGCAACCTCCAACTCCTGGGCTCAAGCGAGTCTCCTGCCTCAGCCTTCTAAGT